TTTTCAGACCCCGGCTGATCTGATCTTCAGACACCTTGTGGATCAGGAAGAGGAGAGGCAAGACTGCTATGCTGCAGTGCAGCACTAACAGTGCTATATACCAAAGAGTTAAATATACAATGTAGTTGGGATAGTAGAGGGAGATAAGACAGAATAAAGTAGAAGAAAGTCTTTGAAAAATAACAGACTTTTCTTTCTTGATGAAAGATAGAAATTTGTAGATATAGGAATACGTGATTGTAAAGTAAAAGCAGTCAGAATAAGCACAAAGAAGTCAATCTGATGCACATTATAGTCAAATTATCAAAATCAACAATAGAAGAAGCTCTTGAAAGCAGCATGAGAAAATGACATATTTCACATCACAGATAACAATTATTTTATTAGACACCAGCTTTTCATTTGGAACTACAAGGCCATGAGGTGGTTATCAATTCAGACACTTCCTGTGACATCTGCTTCTCATATCAGAATGCCTGGGTTGGAGTTCTCCAATTCCAGCTGCCAGCTAATGTACACTGTGGGAGGTAGCAGGTAGTGGTTCAAGTGGTTGGGTCTCTGCCACCCACGTGAGAAACTTATACTGAATTCAGGCCTACTGGCTTCAGCTTGGCCCAGTCCCAGCTGCTGCAGATATTTGGGGAGTGGATGGTGTCTTTCTCTCTCTCTCTGCCTTTTAAACAAGTTAAGTACACAGATAAATATAAAAAATAAAGCTGCCATAAAAAGAGAATGTGAAAACACTGCTAAAATACTGAAAGGGGGGGGGGACCTCTAAACACGTTAGCCCAGAATTCTACACTTAATCTTAGCCAAAAGGCTGAGAAGTGGTTATCCCAGAATTCTAGATGCAATGAAGATATCATTCATGTGTGAAGGCAAAAAACAAAACAAAAAACACACATATTTTCAGATAAAGTAAGAGAACTGGTGACCAGAAGATGAAGCTCGACACTGCAAGAAACACTAAAGGAAGTTCTTTAAAGGAGAATAATGTCAAATCCTCAAAGAAATGATAAACATTTAGATGAACAAAGAGTATTTTTGTTGCTGAGATCCTTTTATTTTCTTAATGAAGTATTTGCTTAGAACTACTATCTTGGGGGACCTGTTACTGGTGGAAGTGGTACACAAAATATGACTTTCAAGTTCTCATGGCCTTCTGGCTCCGTAGGATAACGCATACTTTACAAAATGCTTGGAATTTGGAATGCCTTCTTTTATCTGCTCTAGCCTCTTTCTATCACTGCAGGTTTGCTTTCAGGGTACATTTTGCAGGAATGACACAGAGAATGAACCCTTTGAAAACTAACAGCAGAGGCTGATAGCACATAGGATATATATGATTGAAGAGGAAAATCAAAAGCATGGAAGTAGAGCAGGTAAAGATGAAATATTTCCATGGTAAAACTTAGCTTACCAGATACAAATGTTAGCCTCCTAGACAGTGCCAGAACTAAGGGAAGAAAAATGGAACATACCTAGTCCACTCCCTGACCTCCCAAGCCCCTCACTCTATGATGATAATTACTAATCTGTAGACTCGACCAGAACGGTTCTACATCTCGGATAGGACTTGGTTCCCCGACGCACCTGTTCCCTCGATGGTGCTGGGAGTGAGTGGAGGTGGTAGGTCTTCGGGAAACTACGAAAGAAATCTACAGATATATTGAGAGGAAGTCAAGGAACTGAGATGGTAGATGCATTACTGATGAGAATCATAAATATTAGAAACAAAAAGGATGATGAGGGTTCTGTGTAGAAAAGGCTGGGTGCTCCAGGAGCTGAAATTCCCAGTAAACATGGCGAGTGCCCTGGACGTTGAGTCAGGATGTGGTAAGCCAGCAAGGAGAAAACATTTGTACAAATATAGCTCAGGAAGTAGCAGGAAGGACAATGAAGATGTTTCTCTGACTACCTCAAACATTTGGGCTTCCCTCACACAGTCCATTTTGTTGTTGTTAAATAGAAGCAACATTATCTAGCCCTACTTGAGAACATTTTATGATTTCATTTTGATCACATGTTGATATTGTCCCAGTTCATCTTTGAATGACATAGGGTGGAAGGTATGTGTGCGAGATGATCCTGGGATAAAGTTGTTTTGTTCCTTGGGATACTTCAGGCCTTATGGAGGACAGTGCTGGGGCCATTTTGTGTAGCCCATCAAGGAAAAAGAGGGCATTGGCTCCCTAGCTCTACCCAGAGATAGAAACTCCTGACTGGTGACAGTCTCACAGGTTGTAGAAAACTCCCTTTAACCATAAAATATTACAATTACAAGCATGTGTCTTTTATAGTTCAGCTCACAGCCTCTCAACCAGCCTGTTGCTCTCTTACCAGTATTAGTAACTGTCACCCTAACTAAAATGGACTGAGACTACAGGCATAGCCTTCAAATGAGAGTCTGTGTTCTGGCTGTTGTCAGTCCCCACCTTGCCTGTCCAACTTCTGCCTCCTTGGAGTGTGTTCCATACGTGTAACTTTGCTCATTGTCTCTGGTGAATTCTTTTTTTTAAAGATTTATTTTTCTTGGAAAAGCAGATATACAGACAAGAGAGATAGATCTGTCTGCTGGTTCACTCCCCAGGTGGCTGCAATAGGTAGACCTGAGCAGATCCAAGCCAGAGCCAGAAGCTTCTTTCAGGTCTCCCACATAGGTGCAGGGTCCCAAAGCTTTGGGCTGTCTTCTGCTGCTTTCCCAGGCCACAGGCAGGGAGCTGGATGGGAAGTGGAACAGCCAAAATATGAACCAGTACCGACATGGGATCCTGGTGCATGCAAGGTGAGGATTTTAGCCCATTGGGCCACCATACTGGGCCCTCTCTGGTGAATTCTTATTACCACCTGGGATGTAGGCCTCAACTGTTCCTATAGCAGTCATGTAAGGCTCCAACTCTCATCAGGGGTTTGTTAGTTTCTTGGTTTATTCTGAGTAACTTCTCAACTTTTTCCTGTTATTCCTTTACAAGTTTTTGCTTTGTACAGATTCTACTTTTGTTTTGGCCAAGGATTTGGTACATCCTTTTCAAACAGGACCTGAGGTAGCTGTGCCAAAACTGGAATCACAAAACCAAATGACATAGGCTACATGATGGGAGGGAAATGTAGACTAAGTATCTGCCTACTAGGAATTAAAAAAGAATAACAACAGGTTTTTGTCTTACAGGCCAACTCTCTGGAGCATTATGTTATAAAGAATTCTGAGGTTTAGAAAGTTGAATATGGGCTCTGAGATGGAGTATTATCTGCAATTAATCAGTGAAGCCTACAGTGGGAGGAGACCACGTGCTGGAGATCCTCTCCCTCACTTTGGTGCTTTTAGATGTGAGGGAGGCAGAGAATCGGTGAGGGACACGTTGCTTAGGACTGCCATCTCCCAGGCTGTGGTAGAGCCCAAATCCTATCCACTTCTGTGGCCATCCCGTACAGCTGAGAACTCGGCACACCCACTCTCGATCACAAAGCCAAGCCTCACTTTCCGCCATGACACCTCAGATGACAGTGCGTGTACTACAGCCCCTCCACACCCCTGTCCCCACTGGATCTTCAGTCAGGCTCTGTGCCCACCCCCTCCTCTTGTCCTGCAGAAAGGACAACCCTCAGCTTTAGAGAGGAATTCATCCTTGAGACTGTCTACAAGCCATGCCTGCAGGTGCACTCTCCTTTTGCCTTTCCATAAATCCTGCTTTTCTTCTCACCCTTATTTATGTCTCCCAGTTGGATTCTTACACATGGCAGGACAGGAACCTGGACTAAATTGGGGGAAGGGGCAGGAAGGGAGGGTGTCTCTCTGAGTCCAAGTGGGATTCCTGGGAACTCTTAGGTGAAGAACAATCAGCTAGGGCCTCTGTGTCACTGAAGGACCTGTCTGTCAGGTCCTGACACAGTTAGGGGAAACACTCCAGCAAGCGGGAAAAGCCTGTTCATGCAACTGATGTTTGCTAAATTCCTCACCTGAGTTGGCCAGCTGGCTCCCACAGGGCTGGGCTTTGCAGCCATCCCTCTCAAGTCAACCTCGCTATGTCTCCCTTCTTCTGCCCCAACAGGTAAGGAAGCCACGGGATCAATTAATCTGCCCAGATTCCCTCCGTGCCAACAGAGATGGGAATCTGTGTTTTGTGTTTTGTACCTAGACCAGCTCCCATTCTGCCTCTTAAAGCCAACAGAAATCTTGGCTCTTAGACACACCCCCCCCCCCCCCATTTTGTTACATTCAATAGGAACTGCTGATTTTCTACCTCACCCTAGCCACAAGGCAATCGTTCCCTTCCCACTCCCTGGAAGTGGAGTCAAGGGCAAGTCCTCGGCACACAGTGATGACATGAATTCCAGTCTGTTCTTTAGCAAGGAGACCAGGAGCAGGAAGGGGAGAACCGAGGAGAAACCTGAGGGGGAGCTTCACTAGTTGGCTCCAGGATGGGGAAGCAGGGTTAGCTCTGAGGGTGTTGGGTGGAAGTGGATAGTGGGTCCCTCTGGGTGACCAGGGGTGGCCATGTCTGAGAATGAGGATGGTTAAGGCCCTGGGGGGGGGGGATCCCTGAAAAAGGTTCACTGGGGTCTGTTAGCAGACACAGGAACAAGGGTGAAAACACCTTCTGCCTTCTCACCCCCACTCTGCACTCCCAGGAAATTTCGTGCTCCTCAGAAGGTTCTAGAGAACCTCGCGTCGGCGCAACAAGGATGTGCCAGATGCGGGTGCCGCTTGGCCCTTTCCAAACGCACCATCCCACCTCCGCCTGTCACCTCAGGGAGGAGTCACAGGTGGGTCTTCGCAGCTCCAGAACCGGCTGCCTGGTCCGGGACTTGGGAGCCTCCCCGAAGGCAAAGAGGAGCACGTCGCAGGAAGCCCGCAGGGTCCGGGGTCTCGGGGATCCCAGGGTGAGCGGCTGCGCCCGGGCAGCTTCGGGCTCCCGAGGGTGGGGAGTAGGTGCCGGCCGGCCGGGCGGGCCGCCAGCTGCCGGGCCCGTCGCCGGCCTCCCCGCCCCCCGGCTTCCTGCGGAGGCCGCGGCCGCCATGTTGTTGTGGGGCTGAGGCGGCGCCGGCAAGAGCCGAGCGCCCTTGACAGGCTACGCAACAGGTTCGCTGGCGGCGGCCTGACGACCGGCCCCGGGGGCGGCGGCGGCGGCGGCGGCGGCGGCCGAGCAGGGTCTCCGGCGGCCCGCCCGCGCGCGCGCGCGTTGCCGGTGCCGAGGAGCGCGGGGTCGCGCCGTGACGTGCGGGAGGCGCGGCGCCAGGTGGGTGAAGGCGCTCGGCAAGCCGGGGCTGCCGCAGGGTGCCGGGGCAGGTGCGGGCGCTGCCACGCCGCACCGCACCGCGCCCGCCGCCCGGAGGCTCCGAGGGCCGGGCTAAGGCAGCAGTGCGTCCGGGACGACCGGGACGGGTCCTCGGGAACCCCCGCGGCCCCCGAGCTAGGCCCCTGGCGGGCTTGGCCGCGCGGGGCGGAAACCTCCGGCTCCGGGTTCCTGCCCCCGCGGCGGGGCCGGGGCGGACGCGGAGGGGCCGGGGAGCTGGCCGGCTCTTCCTTGCTGCGGAGCCTGGGCCGCTGATCGCGGCCTCGTCTGGCAGGTGGCGGACGCCGCTGAGGACTGGGGGCGGCGTGGCCCCTCGCTTTGGGAGTGCGGGCAGGCGAGACAGAAAGAGCCCTGGGCACACTGCACGCTTTCTCGGGGCCCCATTTTATTTCGGCGGAGTTGCTTTTGCCTGTGGGTCACGGCTGGTGCGGAATGTCAGGTGAGCCGCATCCCGGTGCGTCAAAGTGGCCCCAATCGCCAGGAGCACGGTGGGCGGATGCTGGGCGTCCACGGCTCGCGTTAGGCTGAAGTTGGGAAATGCTGAAATTGGACTTAGGCGTTGCTGACTTCAGATACACTGGAGGCATAGGATCTCCGACACCAAAGTTGATTGCTTATTTAAAATTAAAAAAAAAAAAAGCCTACGTGTGAATAGTGAGTGGATAAACAGGCTGAAACTGTAAATGATCTGTCGCTGCATGAGTGCTGATGGCAAGTTTGTTTTTATTTGAAACTTTTACTAATAATTCGGAGTGGTTTTGGTGGAACCATTCACTTTAGGAATTAAGGATTAGTACAGAAATGACAGCTTCACTCTCTGCTGCTAGTTGGTCTTGGTAGCGTTTATTGCTTGTCTGTTGGGAGACAGGCAACGTGTGACTTGAGATTTTGTGGTGTGTTGGTCAGCATGATTTATGTAGCAGACTGACAGATTAAGCTTCCTAAGCCGTTCAGGAATATTAAATGCCTTCCTCCGTGTTGTAAATAAGTGATAAAACCTGCAACCTAGAAGCATCACATAAAATCTTTACCTGAATTAATGGTGATACGCCTGAAATTTAAAAATAGTAGCAACACGGATGTGCTCACCCTCAGGTTTATTGGTTATGGCCATTATTCCCTTATGATTCTAAAAGTAAATAAAGAAAAAATATTTTATGTTTTTGAGGGATCCGGAAAAATGTGCACTGCTGCTGTTTTGAGACAATGTTAACTGGCAACCAAAAAGCTTTTTCTTTCACCCTTTACTGGTTTAATAATTATTCATTTTGCTTGTGTTTATAATGTAAGGCAGGCTGATCTGAGAAAACTTAACCTGTATTGAATTGTTGAACAGGAAGAAACTATTGTTAGTTTAACATATCTCAACGCAAAAATTCTAATCTCTCTTGAAAATGAGGTAATGCGTTCAGCACTTTGAGAATTGAATGTATAGTTTTTTTTAAATGTATCTTCATAGAACCAGAATGGTGTACACCCACCAGCTACACTCAGCAGCTTCCAACATTTCCCTTTGCTATCTTTTTTTTTTTCCTTTTCTGTTTTTGTATCTTAAGTCATTTTATCCTGTAGAATTGTTTTCATGTGGAAGATTTCTTACATAATCCAAGGGGTTATTTTTGTGTGTATGTATGTTTAATATAATGTATGCTTTACATAGAGTTTGGCAGATCTCCATTTTGCTCGTAAGAGAAACAGAATATTTGGTGTCTCCTTTACCCTTGCTGGTACATCCTTCAGTGTTAAAACACACTCACTGTGATTGTCATTTATCAAGTGTGTGCTGAATGTTCTATATCATTTAAAGCTCACGAAGATCCTCTGTGTAGATGCTAAAATGAGAGGGCTCCAACAAGTTCAGGGAAGGGGCAAGCCTACCTGCTCGGGATGCCTGCCGCGTGATAGGAGAACTCCTAGCTTATATAGTCCAGGCTCTGCTTCTAGTCCAGCATCCTGCCAGTGCACACCATGGGGGGTAGCAGGTGATGACGTCAGTGTTTGGATCCCTGCCACCCAATTCGGAAACATGGACTACTGGTTTCAGCCTGGTTCGTCTTTGGCTGCTGCAGGGGTTTGTGAGGGGAGTAAACCAGCAGGTCTAAGCAGATGTCAGCCAGTCTTTCTGTAAATTTAATCAGTCAATAATCATGGGAAATGTATACATGGAAATATGCGTTAATTTCAGATTTTTTTTTTGCTATAAAACTTTCAGTTTCCTTTTCTCTTAAAGTTAAAAATATTTATTTGAAAGAGCTAGAGAGTGAGTGAGATCTTTCATCTACTGGTTTATTCCCCAAATGGACACAAGAGTCAGAACTGGCCCTGACTGAAGCCAGGAACCCAAAACTCAATCCATGCCTTCCACATGGGTGCCAGGGACCCAGGCACTTGAGAGTAACCAGAATGTGGAGTACAGATGTTCCCAAATGCCAGCTTAACCCTCTGTGCCACAGTACCTGCTCCTCTTTCCTCTGTATGTCTGACTTTCCAATAAAAACTTTAAAATCTTAAAAAAAGTTTATGCAGGAATTCCAGTAAATACCTACTGAGTATATGAATACATATTCATTGATAGATAAGCAACTGGTATTTTTTATATATTCTATTTACTTTGTAAGAAATATTAACAAGTTCTAGAAATAATTCAGAATAAACCATTACATTACTGAAAGTGTGATATATTACTTTTTGGTGTATTATTTGAAAGAGAGAAAGATCTTCCATCTGCTGGTTTACTCTCCAAATGGCGGCATCAGCCGAGGTTGGGCCAGGTAAACGCCAAGAATATGGACTCCATCTGGGTCTCCCGTAGGGTTGGCCTAAGCACTGGGACCATCTTCCACTGTTTTCAGATTCAGCTGGATGGGAAGTACAGTACCTGTAACTTTTTTTTTTAGATTTATATTTTATTTTATTTTTTTTTTAAAGATTTATTTTTATTATTTTTTCATTGGAAAGGCGGATATACAGAGAGGAGAGACAGAGAGGAAAATCTTCCGTCCGATGATTCACTCCCCAAGTGAGCGCAACGGGTCGATACTATGCCGATCCGAAGCCAGGAGCCTCTTCTGGGTCTCCCACGCGGGTGCAGGGTCCCAAAGCTTTGGGCCGTCCTCAACTGCCTTCCCAGGCCACAGGCAGGGAGCTGGAAGGGAAGCGGGGCTGCCGGGATTAGAACCGGCGCCCATATGGGATCCCGGGCGTGCAAGGCGAGGACCTTTAACCACTTGCGCCACCGCGCCGGGCCCAGATTTATATTTTATTTTTATTAGAAAGTCAGATATAAAGAGAGAAGGAGAGAGAGGAAGATCTGTCCAATGATTCACTCCCCAAGTGACCACAACAGCTGCAGCTGAGCCGATCTGAAGCCAAGAGCCAGGAGTCTCTTCCGAGTCTCCAACATGGTGCAGTGTCTCAAGGTTTTGGGCTGTCCTTAACTGCTTTCCCAGGTCAAAGCAGGGAACTGGATGGGAAGCAGGGCCACCGGGGGGGATTAGAACCAGCACCATATGGGATCCCAGTGTATGCAAGGCAAGGACTTTAGCCACTGGGTTACCGCGTTGGACCCACCTATAACCTTTTTTGTTGCAATAATGGCCTCTTTTTTTTTTTAATACCCTGTGTCCTTATGTATTTTTGAAAGTGTTTATAGAAAAGCTATTTTTGAAGAAAGACTCAAAGTGGCGGACTTTTTTTGTTTGTTTGTTGCTGATTGTTAAGCCAGGATTCCAAATATAAAAAGCGGAAAGGTAAGAATGTTTAGAATTAATTCTGTGAATGAACAGATCTCAGGTTGCAGCTGTGTCAGGAATGCTGTCATTTTGATTTGAGTGCAGTGTTTGAGTTTGTATGTGCCTACAGAGACAGGGCAGAGAGGAACCCTGGCCTGCCTCCGCCTGAGCCTGCACTTCTTGAGAAGGGGGAACTGAACTGTCTTCGAGGAGGTGAAGGCAGAAAGGAAGTGGGGGAGGAAGGGAGGAAGCCACACAGAAATAGGACAGTGGATAGATCAAGAAGTGTTGCATTTTCACAATCTGAAGGGGCAGCATGTTTGATTTGTACAGTGCTTGGTGCAGTTTGGAGAAGTTTGTTTTATAAGATAATTCCATGGCTGCCTCAACACGGGGTGATTTCCTTCACTGTGCGGCGGCTTTGCAGCACTCAGTATGACAACATCAGGGGGTCTATTTTCAGATGGGTAGACGTTTGTTTTAGTTAACCAGCTGTTTTATGTATCAGATCATTTTCTTCATGAATGCATTATTCACTTTAGGAAAAGTTTGTGTGATTTTAGTAACAGGTTTGTGTAATGTTATCATAACCGTGCTGGATAAGAACACAGGCTGTCAAGTTGGGCCTCTTGTTGCCAACTCCAGTGCCAAAGATCTGCATGACCTTGGGCAAGTCTTTAGTTCTACAAGCTTCTCTTTTCTCAGCTGTAAAATGGGAATCGTAATAGCACGTATCTTACGGTATTGTACTTCAGTGTACTATCAAGTGCTTAGCATAGTAACTATTGCTCAGTCTAAGTTCCTCTAAGTTTTGCCTATCATCATCCCAGCTTGCTTTAATGAGGCATTCCAAACTAAGTTAGCTTAGGGTGTTTTTTTTGGGGGGGGTGTGTTTTATTTAATAAATACTAAACTGGAGAAGATATCGACTTTTTTTTCCCTTTAATTTAAGAAATGAATTTAGTTATTTTAAATGCGAAGTGACAGTGAGGGAGCGAGAGGAGCAGACCTCCCGGGAGGGTGGCAGGCACCCACGTACTCAGGCCAGCATTGCTGCCTTCCAGGGGCATCAGCAGGAAGCCGGATCAGAAATGCCGAGGAGCTGGGTTTCATACCACACTCTGAGATGGGATGCAGGCGTCCCAAGCAGCAGCGGGTCCCCACACCCACCCCTGCCCTTTAGTTTTAATCTTACCATCAAGATAATCTGGA